TCCTAGTCTGCACTTCCCGTCCTCTGTAGATTATCACTCTTGATTGTCCCACATAAGCCTTGGCTATCTTCATTTTTCATCATTTTAATATTTCTCACTGCTCCTCAAGCAAATTATTATCAAGCTGTTTTTCCCTGATTTTATCTTAAATTGGTTCAATTTTACTTCTATGTCCTTCTGTTGAGTTGTATATTTCTGATATATTATTGTTGATCTAATGGTTTTCAGGTTGTGCTTTTTGTATGGTTTTTCATCGTCTATTTTGCCATTTTGTTCTTATATCGTTTTCCGGTATTCTTTCCTGAATTCTACAGTAATTTTTTCTCAGTTTGCCTAGAGTTTGTCTAGGTTTTCCTTGATTGCTGTGGAGATTAGATAGATAGATAGATGTCTTTTGATTTCTTTGTCAGGTGGTTCTTCCCCCGTCTCTCCTTTAGGCTGGTTCCTTGCCCTTTATTTTGGGCACTTCCTTGAGCCCTCTTGTCCGGATTCTTTAGTTGATTTGGTATTGTCTTCTATCTCTGAGACATGTGCCTGCCATTTATGTATGGCTACATGTTTGCTTGCTTCATCTCTGTGTTGGGCTGGTAGACTAGAGAAACAAATTCATAAACACGTATATGTATATAAGATAAGGTGACCAGATTTAATGTGGGACACCATTGACTGAGGGGTGGGGGTGTTCTTGATTAAAAATTTGGTCAATATGGACCAAATAGACCGTTCCCTAGCTTGTCATACATTCTTTCCAAAAATCGGGACTTTTTTAAAATGCCAAAAAGCGGGACGTCTGGTCACCTTAGTATAAGAAGGAGCTTTATGTACAAGAGCAATTGAATATTGAGAAAACATCTCAGCCCATCCAGATCAAGTCCATAAGACTGATATTAGCCTATATATCTGATACCAATCTATAAAGTCCTCTTTAGACTCACAAAACACATGCAATGACGCTGAATGCAGATGATCACAGGCCAGTGTATAGAAAGTTTTTGGATCCGGTGACATTGTAAGCATCTCAGTGCTGGCAGGGGTCCCATGTGGCTTCTCCAGCTTTCAGGGCTGCATCAGGGTAGGTCCATGTGGCTTCTCCTCAGGGATTTCTCGCAGGGAGTCAGCAGAGAGAGAGTGTCTCCTGCCTCCAAGAAGGAAAATACAGGAGTTTCCAGAACCTCAGGGGAAGGCCATGCCCACACAGAGGCCTCATGGCTATAACCCGATTGACAGACTAGGCTCCACCCCTTCACTCATAATCCTCTCATGTCCCAAATTGACACCAGGTTATGAAACTACCACAATCTTGTTTTGCTTTAAGATGTTCAGAAGTGTGAGGTGAATGGCACCCCACTGGTTGCTGGTCTGCAGCCTGGGAGTGTTCGCCATCTGTCTGGTGGTGGGTGGCGTAGCCACTAGCAGTGCATCCCAGGGTCCTTTCAGATTAGTTAGGGTGCCCTTCAGAGGTCAGGGCAGGATGTCTCCAGAGCCTCTGTGAAGGAATGCTTCTCAAAGGGGTGGATTAGGGCCTCGGTGCAGACATAAATTCATGTTTCAGTAGCCGGTGGGAGGCTGAGCAGTTTCTACGCACGAGCAAGCGTTCAGCTGCCGGAACTGCCGGGGGGTGTCGTGTGTAGCATCGCCGGCAGGAGGACTTTGGATGGAAGCACGAGCAATTCCTGCGTCCTGTTAGGCACCCATTGGGATGTATCAAGCATTGCCCCCAAGGCGATGGACCTGGCAGTCTGTTTCCCAGACATGGGATGGGAGCAGGAAATGTGTTCTCTAGTTGCTGGCTTCTGGACACTGGGGTGTGCTGTGCTGGGTGCCAGCTGGTTGAGGGGAGAGTGTTGCCTTTCTCATCTTGATTAACATTCTGATTCACTCAGATTTTAAGTGTGGATAAGCCAGAGTCCTACTAGAAACCGAACTTCCCTTGAGCCAACTAGGGCAGGGTGCATGCTGCTTTGTGACCAGATCTCTCCGCAAAACGGTGTCGAAAACAGTGGCTTCAGCTCAAAGATGGTGACCAACCAGGCTGCCTTGGTTGTACATTGCCCTCGGCCAAACCCAAAGCCATCGAGTTGATTCTGACTCATGGGACAGGGCAGAGCCCTCTGTGGGCTTCGGAGAGGGTACGTCTTTATGGTAGTGGAAAGCCTTGTCTTTCTCCCATGGAGGACCTGGTGGTTTTGAATACCTGACCTTGCAGTAGTTAGAAGGCCAACACATGACCATTATAACACCAGGGCTTCCCATTGTGCTCTACAGCCCTGGCAATAGTCCAATGTCACATGCCAGGCTCTGGAAAGGATTTACTATGTCTCTGATTCAGGGCTGCAACCCATAATTTTTCTCGCTCCAGTCAGTGCTCTGGACTACCTAGGTTTGAACACTTTGAGTCTATTCCAGTTTTGCAATACGACTGAATGAATTTGAACCAGTTTGGAGCCCTGATGCTAGGAACACAGAATCATTCTAAAAACAATATACTCTTGTTTCCTTTCCATTTAAATCTCTGCTACTTTCCACAAAGTTCTTTTTCCCAATAGAGGAATATGAAATAAAATAGCCTTGTCCAAATTGGAATTTTCCAGGAATAGTACCAAAAAAACCCCAAACCCTAAAACCAGAAAACCCCACTCACTGCCATCCAGTCAACGCTGACTCATAGTGTCCCTGTAGGACAGGGTAGAACTGCCCCTGTGGGTTTCTGAGATGGCGACTCTTTATAAGAGTAGAAAGTCCCTTCTTTCTCCAAAGGAGCAACTGGTGGTTTTGAACTGCTGACCTTGCAGTTAGCAGCCCAACGTGTAACCACTATGCTAGCAGGGCTCCTACGAACAGTACAGTATGAAGAAGCATCAGAACTTGGTAGCCAGTTCTGGTGAGGGGAGGATAAAGGAAGAAGGGAGCTAAAGAAAGATTTTAAATTATGTACTCTTGGCTGCAGATTTAGTTAAGAAGAAAATAGAAAGGAGGTGAGGATTAAGCATCATTTTAGTGGAGGTGTCAGAAGTTAAGGAGTTATTGTATTTTCTTCTCCTTGGTATTAAACACTTTACCAAACAGTACAAGCACATGCCAAAAGGACCACGGGATTTTTGCTCATTTTTGTGAGAAGGGGCCAATTGTTGGTGCATGTCGGATGATATGGGATGTATACCCACTTGTGTATGTGTTCAATGTGTCTGTGTGTATGTATCTGGGCATATATATGTTTGAGAGTATGTTCTGTGAATATGTGGCATGGGTGTGTGTGAATGTATGTCATGTGTGTCTCTATGTGTGTCCTTTGGAGGAACAGCCTTCTGATCCCATAGTAGGGCCACCCAATGGACCTAGACAAAGAACTCAATAATCACAAAGACCTCCCTGGGTCAGGGTGTTCTAGCAGCTGTCATGTTTCCATCACAAACTGTGGCTGGGTGAGCCGGTGAAGAACACAAGCCACGTGCATGGATGGCAAGATCATGGCAGAGAGGGCAAAGGAAAAATCAGAGGGCGAGGTAAACGCACCGCATCCCAAAAGGTGTTTTGAAATTGGCATGGTCTAATGAAGAAGAAATAAATCAAGTTAACAAAGTCAACAGAAGCCACTGGTAAATTGTAGTTTTTATTTTATCGTAAAATTGAGTAATCACCACTCTAAAATCTTTGGGAGACCATTAAAATAAAATGCCCATTAACCAGATTTGCGTAAGGGGTCCCTGTGGAGATGAGGCTTGATAGTCTGAGCGACCAAAGGCCTTGACAACGGACCGGGTTGCCATCAAGTCAATTTGCCACTCATGCTTAATAGGGTTTTCAGTGGCTACGATTGTTTGGCACCAGGTCAGTAGGTTTCGCTTGCAAGACACCTGTGGGTGGATTTGAAGCACCCACCATGTTTGTTAGCAGCCAAGCACTAAACCATTTGCTCCATCTAGGGACTCCATAGCCAAACACCAAGCTCGTTGTTGTTTCTGACTCTTAGCAATATCACAAGGCAGAGTAGAATGACTCCACAGGGTCTCAAAGGCTGTAATCAGTACAGATTGCTACATCTTGCTCTCACCTGGCGGTGGTTGGTAGTTTAAGTGGATGACTTCGTTAGAAACTGAGTGCTTAACCCCTATACCACCAGCACTTCGAGGGACTCCACACCTATCCCAACAAAACAAAACAAAAACACAACCAGCCTCTTGTCCTTGAGTCCATTCTGACTTATAGTGACCCTGATAGCTATCTCTTAGATTTTCCTTCATCCATGAGGCATGTCCGGACTTAGGAGGGGAAGTGGGGGCTGTGAGAACTGTAGTCAGTCCCTCACTGCCCTACCCAGGGTGTCTCTAATATGAGTTTTCCAAATGGAAAAAACAATAACATTCTAAACAAGAAATAGCGTTCAATGAATTTAGGTGCTTTCTCTCAGGAAAGGGGTCTCCAGACACTCCCCCATTGCCTGTTACCATTTACTTTAGAGTGAGGTTTTAGCAACCTAATTAAGTTTCCTAATTGGTGTGAGTTTCAGGAAGCCTAATGCCATTTCATTTGTCATCCCAATCCTTAACACACAACCTAGCCCATGAAAGGGGCTCAATAAGTGTTTATAAATGAGTGAGCAAACTGTAGAAGCAATATTTAATAGTTGGGATTTTTGGAGGCAGGTTCATACAGTTGGGGGACGTGCAGATCCTAACTGGAAATCCATAGATGGAGGGAGAAAAAGAATGAAAATCAGATAACACAATTCTACCTACCCTCGGAGGGATCATATCACAGACACGAAAAAGGGCCATTTTTGGAAAGGACCATGAGTCATTAGGAAAATATTGAATTTGTTTAATACGCCTCATTTAACACAAGTCAGGGA